TGATGTTCCCATGGTGACTGTCATCACCATCATTCCACTGTTATCAAGTTCTGCACACCAACATTTCACTCAATATGACTTTTTTTGCTGATCTTGAAACACAGCCAAGTAAAATACCTCACAATTTATGAAAATCCAGAAGTAATATTTATATATATTTTAAAGAAACTTCTGCATGCTTTATACGATTATAGTCTATTATTCTTAGAGACAGTATGCAACATTTCTGATTTATATGATCTGTATATATGTTTATGTGCATATACATAATACATACACTTTACGAAGTTGAATATTGGATTGAAAAATAAAAATAAAACAGTAGGAATGAAGCAATAGGAAATAAGGTAATCTATCAAGTGACATTACATATAACATGTTTGATTGCTTTTAGTTTCAGAACAAGTGACTACATTTAAAATGGCTGACTAGTTTATTTCAAGACTGCCACATTCAAATCTATAAAAACATACGGAATATGATGATGTTTGTCAGCACTCGTGTAATGTGATTGCGTGACAGAAGGGGAGTGCTGGCACTACAAACACATTAAATTGTTTTTAAAACAGACTTGTTTCTCATGTTTTAATATATGCAAGGGAAGAGGAAGCCTGCAGCAAGGGGATATATGGTTTAGACAACCATCCCCCCCCCACCTATTTTATGCTCCCTTGCCTTTTCCACCCTCATCTGTCATCATAGCACCCTCATCTGTCATCATAACATTTAATAACTTTTTGAATTTGAATTTGATTTGAATTTGAGATGAATCTCAATTTTAAACTTATTTCTGTACCAAGTACTAACATTTTATGCTCTATACATTGAAAATATTAAGTGCTCTGACTTTAGGGACTTAGACCCAAGCTCAAATACGGGTGTTGTCCTTGTCCCAACCAAGCCCTTAGACAGGATTGTGGACCCCATGCTCAGAAATCCTTTCTCTTTCAAAAAGACAGCCCTGGATTTTCTACCAAACCTTCCAGGATAATTATACATGTTGCTATCCAACATGATTTACAGCCCTTCATGTTATTGACTTATTACTAGTTCAATGTCACAAATATAACCTTGATGTCAATATTTGGGTCTGTGGGAGACCAAGATGCAATAAACAATTGTTAACATGAAGTAGCAATGTGACACTTGAGTAAATATTAACAATGTACTTGATAACTAGAATTTAACAACAAAGTTTCCTCTAATTATTGAAACAGACATCCAAATAACATCTATTATATTGTCATTGCTAATTTTGCTGATAGATATTTCAATCAAAGGCAGCCCAATTACATAAGTAATGTAAAGGGTAAGGTAAAAGAAAATGCTAAAAAAGGCAACTGCTAGTTTACAGGCAACACGTAGCCTAGGCAACTAGTAGTCTGGTTGCCATGGTAGCTATATTGTATTTGTCTTTTGGTTAATCTTCAATCTCCCCACACACTGCCCCAACCCACAACACATCAAAATAAAACTTAAGACAAAATGATAGCTGACAGACAGTGGCCTCTTTGTATTTACCACAGTA